ATTTCTTTCTCTTGTTATTCTCTGTTCCAAAGTGACCAAATCAATTCTTTTGTTCCTTATTTATTCTCCAATAAGTGTTAGCAACCTGTGTTCTATTTCTTCCGAGTTTCCTTATAAATTTTTAAAAATTAAATATTTTACTGTCTTCATTTAAAATTTTTTTGTGGACAAAATATTCCAGAAATAAAAATTACCTTTAATCTCACTGCCCATGCGTAAGTATTAGTTGCATTTTGATATATGATACAATTTTTACTAGATTCAGAGAATGTGATATGAACAGAACTAGTCTACAGCACCCAAGGGAGCATAAACAGTCACCCAAACACCCCTCGTGGGTTACAGCAGACCTTCAAGGCCCTCTATGATATAGGTTCTTCATAAGATCTTAAGTATCCTAAACCATGTTGTGTAAAGGGCATTAAGAACTATGCCATATTTTTTAATAGCTTCATAGTATATAGATAAGTCATAGTTTGCAAAGCATTTACCTAAAACTCCACGAGGCCTAAATACAGTGAGGTGACCAGGAGGAAACAATAAGGAACTGCCAATCTGAGGGAATCTCACAGTGCCCCACAAACGACCCCAGGGTATAACTCGGAATAGTTACATGCCAGTCCGCCAGCTTTTCGATTAGTCCCCACGTAGTCAACACTGTAACTCCTTGGTTTCTGTTTCCTCAAACACATGACTCAGGTCACTCCTTGATGAATAAGCATTTGATTAAAGGAAGCAATGACGTGACGAGTGGCTGTCGCGTTCTGCTCCTATTGAGTTCAGGACTGTGGGCAAACCCAAGATGCTTTCCTGTGAAACATGAACAGTTGGAGGATTTTGCTTTATTTTATTTCTGTTCTATATAGAATTAAGACTATTTTTCCAGAATGAACTTCTCAGCGTCAGTGGTATTTATTCATGATAAATGTGACCACAGACCAAGAAGATAGGCACCATCATAGTTTGCTTTCTGTGCTTAAGGTAATCACCACGGTCAACAGCAGTTGGTGGGGGGAGGGTTCATTTCATCTTACAGGTTCCGGTTCATCACTGAGGGAAGCCAGGTCAGGAACTCAAGGGAAGCTGGAGGCAGGAACTGAAGCTGAGGCCATGGAGGAATGCTGTTTACTGCTTAGCTACCTCTGGATTGCTCAGCCTCCTTTCTTATACAAGGCAGGCCCACCTGCCCAAGTACGGTACCACCCACAGTGGGTCCAACTCTCCTTCATTAATGAGCAACCAAGAAAATGTCCTGCACACACATCCACAGGCTGATTTGATAGAGGTAGATCCTTGTCCACAATTCCCTCTTTCCTATACTTTGACCAGTATAGGTCAAAAAGTAACCAGTACAGGATTGTTAGGCCATTTTCCAGGCTGACCTTATCCGATGCCTTGTCCCCAGCTCACACGGCAGTCCCTCAGTCTGTTCAGTGGAGCCCTGAGATTCAAAAGCACCACCTCTCAGAGGGAGTAGTCTTGGGAAACAGAACTCATGTGGTGAGAAGTCCTTCACGTCTGTGGGAAATAGTGAACACTACACACGTAGAAAGCAGAGAAGTGAGGAGAGAAGCTAGGAAGCCATAGCCCTGGTTAGGTAGCTTTCCCTTGTCCAGCTCTAACCGCAAGGCCCATGGGAATCTCACCAACAGGCTGCCCAAACACCTAGTTCTGAGGTTTAAAATGCTTCCCTGACCCATTCCAGTGAAGAACATTTTATCTGTAGAAGTCTAGTTCCGACATCTTTCCTTTTCTATATATATAGAGACAACGTTCTTTTCTTCACTTCAGAGTCAGCATTTTCCCACTACTCATAATTGCATGGGGATTGCAAAGCTTTGATTCTTTTTTTCAATATTGGTTTCCCTCTAATTGTTCATGTCAGACATAATATTTCTCTAAAATGTATAAAACAATTGTGAGCTGTCAGAAGAAAAGCCTCTTTAAAATTCAGATTAACTTACTGCCTGTTCTCTGTGTAAATGCATTTTCTGTTGGTCACCAATGTCATGAAACTATTATTCGAGGCTTAATATTCAGAAAGTCACGTTGTAGTTTTGCATGGAAGCAATGTTTTCTATGTGCTCTGATCTTCAGTATGCTGTCTGCCAAATTTTATATCTCTTAAGCTATTTATTTATTTATGTTGGTTTTCCGAGATAGGGGTTCTCTGTGTAATACCCCTAGCTGTCCTCTAACACACTCCATAGACCAGACTGGCCTAGAACTCACAGAGATCCACCTGCCTCTGCTTTCCAAGTGCTGGGATTAAAGGCCTGTGCCACCATGCCTGGCCAAGCAGGTAAGGTGGCACTGCCACAGACTCCTGCTACCCTGAACTAAAATCCTCTGAAACCATGAACCAAAGCATATCCTCCCAGGTGCTTTGCTCACCACGATGCATAAGTGACCAATTCATAGGGGCTTGTGGGTCTCTGACACCTTGCTGCTGTTTAGGTTTGGATGCCTCCCATGACTTTGGGAGCTCATGCCTTGGAACCCAGCAGGAAATCTGACACTTCTATCACAATAGACTCACACCACGTAGGCACCCAACCATAGAAATCGACCTGGTGTTATTTGGCATGTCATTTCAGAGTGAACTACAGGAATTCGCTAAGGATGTTGGAACAGAAATGCGCTCTCTCTTCTGCTAGGTGTCACTTAGGATGAAGAGTCTGGGTTGCTCTTGGCAGATGTCTAGGATCTACTTCTACAAAAGCCACCTTTAGGATAAAGGCAGCGATGAGAAAGGGAAAGAAACAAGGGCTTTTTGGTGGTATCGTTGAATTATGAATCGTCTTACCTGAAATCTTTGGACTTTTCAGCAAAGAATTAATAACATTCTGGGTCGGGAAGATGGCTCGCTGGGAAAGAATGCATGCAGCAGAAGCAAGAGGACCTGCGTTCAAACCCATGTAAAATGAAAGCCGGCCCTGACTGTGTGTGCATCTGCAACCTCGGAACTGTAGGGAAGAGGGTGGGGACAGAGGAGTTGCTGGGCTCGCTTGTCACTAATCCCCAGGTTCAGAGAAGGGCTCTGTTCCAAAGGAACATGGTGACAGTGATAGAGTACAATGCCCAGTGTCCCCCTCTGGCCTTTGGTTTTTCGAAATAAAAGATAATTGTGATCTCCAAAGAAAAGAGATTTGGAAAAACAAGGACGTAGACACATGTCAGGAGGCTACAAGTAGGAATTGGAACTCTTCCTGAGAGCCTCAGAAGTCCTTTCTTTGCTCCTTGGCTGCTGTTTCTTTTGCATTCTGTGAACTAGCCCCCAGGCACACCAAAAGGAATATGACCACCCCGCAGCTCCCTTGTTAATTTATTGAGCAAAAGGTCAGAGGGCTGTCTCTAACTCCTTAGCCAAACTCTGGTTAGGAGAGGCTAATTAGCCTCCTTGGAACATCCTCAAGTTGGCACGGCCATTGTGGAAATGTGGCTTCTGGTGGGGTGTAGTGACTGAACTCTGAGAGGGGGGCAAATGAGACTCAGTTTTCCGAAACAGGGGATTTAACTTTAGATTTTAAGGCAAAAAAAAGAAAAGAAAAGAAAGAAAGAAAGAAAGAAAGAAAGAAAGAAAGAAAAAAAGAAAGCAAAAAGCAAACCCCCAAAAAAAAATCTTGCCTGGCTGGAAGCCAGAGGCCATGCTCTAGAGGATGTTGTCCAGTTGAAATTTTTAAGACTAATGGTAATGAACGTGTGGAAGGGAGAATGGAAAAGAGTACTCTTGTAATGGGGACATAGAGTGTGGCATTTGGGGAAATGTTGGGGAAGCCAGTGACAGGAGATGAACCTGGAAAAATGAGGAGATAGTACATTATCGTAGTCTTGTAAGCATCACTGTTTGGTTTTCACGTTGAGTTCTGAGGTAAAATATTAAAACTGTGTGTGTGTGTGTGTGTGTGCGCGCGCGTGTGTGTGCATACATGCACACACCTTGCACATGTATTAGTATGAATGAGTATGTGAAAGTCAGAAGAAAACCTTGGTTGTTTTCCGTCACCTCCTTTTCTCCCTCCCTCCCTTCTTCCCTTCCTACTTTAAACAGGGTTTCTCTCAGCATCCTGGGACACAACAATTTGTCTAGGCTGGCTGGCAGTGATCTCCGCCTGTCCAGCACCCGTGAACAGCACTGCGCCTGGCTTTTTTATGTTTATACAGGTTCTGAGATCAATCTCAGGTCCTTGTGCTTGGAAAGCAGACACTTACTGAGCCATAGCTCCAGCCCCATGTTGCGGTGCACCACGCCCGGTCTGTGCTCTATGCGCCACCATACAGTTCGTGAGCTGGGCAAGGGGCTGGAGATTGAAACACACAAAGACTCACAGACAGAGAGAGACATGGGTCATCCTTGAAGCCAGAATGCTCCAAGAATGCCCCCTCTATTGTGTTCAGGGGCAGCTTATATAGGGATAGCCACGCCCCAGCCAAACGCACCAGAAACCATTCCCCTGTCATCAGGAACTCCTGAGGGTCTCCTGCTCAGAGCAGCTGTAGGCACTCAGATCCGGGGAAAACAAGTTGTTTACAAGAAATTCAGGATCTGGGGGTTCACAGCTCCCAACACCATGTTCTAAAGATTTTTAAGGAGAAATAAGGGTAGGATGAGGTATTGTACTGGAGAGTGTATTTTAGCAGTAATATGGAGAATTCCTGGGGCTGGTCACACTTGACTGTTGGGGTCCCTAAGGTGGAGCAATGGCCGTCAGAACTGGGGCGTGGCAGAGAGGAACAAGAAGAAAGTTGTCTATGATTTCCATCTCAGCACAGAGCCTGGTTTGTTTAGGATACTTCGTTGAATGGTTGCCAGATAACTTAGGATCTAGACCAGTCTCCAGCCAGTGTGCTTCTTGCTGCTTTGGTCATCAGTGGCGTGAGGACAGAGGGCAGACTGGGACATTCTAGCTTGGGTCAGTGACACCAAAGCAAATGTCGAAGGCGTTTTCTCCCATGGCTGCTTGCAGCTGTTTGCATCTCCTGACAGGTCAGGGAACACCACGTGGTAGCTCAAAACAAAGAGAAGCAGTGCTGTGGCTGAGAGAACATTGAAGGAAGGAGGAGAAGGAGTGAGGGGTAGTACAGATTCCCCCCCACCAGCTGGCCCCCTACTGAAGAGAAATCTAAGGAGGTATTTCCGGGAGCATCTCTATGAGACTTGGATGAGGGTTGAAGGCCGGCAGACAGCTGTTCAAAGCAGAAGGTGTGGGTGGGAGCCAAGCTGGAAGCGTAGGTCCTGGTGGATGTTGTGGATGTCTGTAGCTGGTAGTGTTTCACGGGCCTGTTGGTGATTATCGCTTTTTAGAAATATCTGGAGGCAGAAGGAGATTGAAGGGAAAATGCAGAATTCCCCTTCCTCTGTGTGTGTGTGTGTGTGAAACGTTTGTGCCTGTGTACTTTGGACACTTGTAAACAGCACTCACTCACAACACCCACATTCTAGCTGTAAGAGAAGAGCCTGTAAGGCCTGGTCGTTAGAGTCATCTCGCGTCAAGAGAACAGAAGAGAAGGTATTGAACAAAACCTTCTCTGTCCCGCAGCATTGGAGTAGGGGTATCTGTGCTCATCCTCTGGGTCCATGAGATATCACATCACCATACCCATGTGGTCCTAGTGGCCCCCAAAGTCTCAGGGCACCATGCAAGATCTGCATCACTGACTCAGCTCCCCCAGGCTCACTGTGGTATTTTGTCAAAACCAGGAAATTTAAGTTTCTTTTTAATTAATTTGATAGATGCACCCATCTATCTTGTAGTAATTTAGGAAACTTTGTAACTTTGTAAAAGGCACTGTTCAGTTGTGAGAAAGTTCAGACATGAGAGACGCCTGATGCTGAAATACCTGACCATAAATTTCTACTCGTGGTACAGAAGGCCGTTTACCTTCTTCTGTAGTCAGTAAGTGCATTTCTGACGGCAAATGTACCACATCAGGACCTCCCAGATTCAGCAGGTAAGTATTCCTTTTAGAAAGCTGACTTCATTGTACTTTGAGCAGTCTGCATTTGTGACTGCTTTAGGAGATATATTCTTTGGTGAAAAGATTTGAATCTAGATATTTTGCCGCAGTGAGAAAGAGTCCCTCTGTTCTATGTGGAGGTCAGTACATGTGAGGTGTGTTCTGCCACCTTAAAGACGCCATTGTTTCCCAATACATGGGAATGCTTTGTTTCATTTCATTTCAATAGACCGTCAGCGCCAGGTCCACACCTCCTGAACCTTCAGCAAGCTCCAGGATTTGGAGTTGCCTGTTTCTTGGAGTTCTAGAAGGCACTCTAGCCCTGGGAAGAGCTATCATTTACCTGACAGGAAGAGCTGGCAGATTTGAACCACCCCGGAGCAGTCCTTAAGGTGACTGCACAATTGGTATGTGTCAGATCCAAAGAAACTCAGGACGGATGGCTGAACTGTGGTGTCTGTTAGTGTACGCAAGTGCATGCTTGGCTGCCAGGCTCTCAGCATGGCAGACACCTATCCCAGAGTCTATGCTGGCATCCTAGGGCTTCCTGACTCTTCACCCCGCCCCCTACCCTAAACTTCTCCCTCTCATGTGCTTCCCTTCCCCTGGTTTCTTGTTCCTTTAAAAAAAAAACCCGCCATTTTGACCATCTCCGGATCCTGTTGGCTCCTTCTTTCTTTGTCCCCTCTCTTCTTGGCTCTTTCCCGCCTCTCTGACCCCTCTCTTGGTCTCCTTTGTCCACACTCCCTTCTCTTCCTCCCCCCCCCCCCCGTCTCTCTCTCTCTCCTTATGGCCTGGTTCAGTCTACTGGATAGGTTTAGTCTACTGTTTCTCTCCTTGCTCTGGATTCTTCCAGGTACCTCTGACTATAGTCTCCCTCATATCCGCAATAAAGACCTTCTCCTCAACCATTCCTTTGGAGTGGTATACATTTTCTACATCTTCATACATCTGGTGTATGAATCTCACTTTATAGATTTGGTGCTGATCCCCCCCGCCCCGAGTATGTAAGTATTCCAGTTGCCTGTGTCTTCACACTGGCAATTTAGCTGTGGGATTGCTCTTCACTGTCACCTACAATGGCAGTCGGCTTCTGTTAGTTGCCTTCCATTCCTGTGTCACCTTTTTCAAGAATTTCAGGATCTCGAAAATAAGCTAGTATCCTTAAATTCCCGCCTCAAGATTTACTTCCAGGGAAGCCAAACTAATGAATATTGGTTCATTTGTTCATGATGGGGATCACCTGGTGTTTCAGTTTGGTTAAAAGCTGGTAGAGTGTCAAAGTACGATGGTCAAACTATCGAGACAATAATTCTTAGGCAAATAGATGGGCAAGTGTCAAATTCAAGTCATTATGAGAGAATTAGTAAACGAGAAAGCAGACACAATGTATATCGTAGGTGGGTGAAGGAATGCAGAGGCACGTTCAGTAAACTGGTTAAAGGTCTCCAAGGTGATAGCATCATTGCTATGCTTTGGGTCTGAATAGGTACCTAGTACCTAGGAGGCTTGGTGTCTGCTCCAGGTGCTACTGCGAAGTGATGGATGAGTAGGGGGTTGCACTGGGTTCTTTTCTCATTGCTTTGGCCAAACACTTGTTGGGAAGAGCCTTAAGGGAAGAATAGTTTTATCTGATTCATGGTTTGAGGAGATATGGTCTGAGAGGGAGGGCACAGTGGCAGGAATATAAGGCAGCTGACCACGTGTCCACCATCAGGAAGCAGTGAGAAATGAACTCTGGTCTTCATCTCTATTCTCTGTTGTTGTTATTGAGTCTGGGATGGCAGCCCGTAGGACGGCATAGCCCAAATTGTGGGTGAGCCATCTCTACTAGGTTAAACCTTTGTGAAAACAGCCCCACTTACACACAGAGATGCTTTTCTTGCCTCATTCCAGATTCAGAGAAGCAGACTAGATTAACCAGCAGAGGTCTTTGTTCCTGGGAGTGTGCCCTAAAGTGGGGTAGTAGGACCCCCTTTCCTCTTCTTCCCTCTGCTTCCTCACCACAGGAGACAATGGAGATGTGTCCCCTCTATAGTCCCCAGTGCAAAGGACCATCTAGTCATGGATAGAAACCTACAGAACTTTACTCTTTTAAAAGTTGATCATCTCAGGTTATTTGTTATAGGAATGGAAAACTGGCAAACATAATCCATTTTTATTATATTATCACTTACAGGAACAAAAAACCATCACATAAACTCAGATTTTTTTATACTCAGAAAAGATCAGGGCTTCTGATAATTAGTAGTCATGAGTCAGATAATGTTAAACCCTAAAGAGCCCTGTAGAGAACTCTAAGAAGGAAAGGAAAAGAGGAAAAGCACACAGCCGTTTAAATCAGTGATCTCTGAGAACTGTTCACTTTTGGTTTCATCCTAAGACATCTGCGTGGATCTCTTTAAGACTCTTGTATCTTTCTCCCTCTCATCAAATTGTGATCAGTGGTGTTAGAGATGAAAAAAGAGCATTCCTTCCTTCCTCTTGTACTGTGTTAATAAGCGTGAAGGGCTGTCTCGTTATTAACTAATAAGGCTTATCTGCTGCTGCCATGTCTTGTTAAGCGCGCCATTTGAAAAGTCAGGACTGGGACATGAGGAACACCCCGCTCTCTAACACAGCCATTTGGAGCCAGAGGACTGCATATCATCGGGAATTAAGACAGGCGGTTTAAGAGATGTTCTCAAAGCGCAAGTTCAAATAGCTCCTTCCTCCCTGCTCTCTTTGGAAGGCCAGCAAACCCTGAAAGCAGGCGGGGGAAGGGTGCGTTGTCTCCTTGTAAATGGAATGACCTGATTTTTATCTCCAGCTGGATTCCAGGAGGAAGCATGATGTCATTCCAGCCACTGGCCAGAAACCTTCTTGCTTAATGAGCACTTTGAGCTTGCTGGCAGCTGAGGGAGCCTTTGTTTACTGTGCTCAGAAGCCGGGGTCAAAGATTCTCCTGGCTCTTAGGAACAAAGGCACGGGCTGGCTAAGCGACTCGTGTCTGTAAGTATAATGTAAGATGGAAAATAATGATAGACGGAAAATACAGCCAGCTACCCAAAGGTTCTATGGCCTGTGCAGTGGATAGGAGAGAGGGACAGAGACACCATGACTAGACATTAATAATACAGTGTTTAAGCTATCCTTTTCTGACCCCAAGTGAGGGCTGAGTTTTAGCCAAGTTTCCGACGACAGGTGTGTGCCACACTTCCAGCCCCCAGCTCTCAGAGACTTCTGCCCACCCTCCAGCATTCCTCAGCTGTTGGAGCAGTTGCTCTTGGGTCTGAATGGGCTCCACCTACCAGCAGCTGTTGAGCTGTGTCCTGAGGCTAGAAACAGACTTCTAGAATACTGGTTACTAGCCGCAGAGGTCAATACCAGCTCAGGGGCTGATGTCAATCCAGGGTGCATAGCAAGTCAGATTTGAGGCAGAAGGTGGAATGTTGAGGAAACAAAGCAACTTCTATTCTCCTTTTGAAATGGTATATTATCCTGATGATTTTTCTTTTTAAAAAATCCTCTTTGTATCTGGCAGTCAGTGAGCAGTGTACAGTTACAGAGTCCAACGTGAGAAGTCCCAAAGCAGACGTGGTGAAGAGTTCCTCACCAGAGCAACATGTGATACGCATCCATGAATCACAACAAATGAACCACTCTGGAGGGACTGCCGCTAAGGGGGGTCATGCAAGTGCAAATGACAATCTTTGGACCTTCTTGATTATTATGGGAACCTGATTCTGTGCTAAATATAAAGCCTTTTATTCCCCTAAAGGGCTAATAAAAATGTGGTGTTAACTCAGTCGAGATTAGTGGTCCCCAGAGCTTTCTTTGGATGCTCTGTAATCCCTAGTGTAAGTAGCATGGCCAGCGCTGGACACACCTCTCCCCATCCGGGTGATGCTGTTGATGCAGAGCACAGCTCATCCCAAACAGAAGAGGGACATTTTTCCTGAGCCAAACATGAATTCCATGGCCTGGAAGCACAGATTAAGGTTGCCACAAAAGATGTGTTCCACCGTGGAAGCAGTTACATGATATTTTATTCGTTACAAAATACAGAAAGTCATTAATCAAGGAACTTAACCAGATATGCTGCTGGTGGTCACAGGCAGGCAGACTGCAGTGATACAGGGACTATGCTGTTGTCGGCTTTAGATGCTGCCTGCGACATTTGTAGCATGTGGATGGATGGGAATTTAGTGTCTGCTATGAATGCATTTTATTTGTAAATATCTATTTATTTTAAGATATATTTTTATGTGCATGAGTATTGACCTGCATGTTTGTTTGCATGTATGTATTTTATGTGTACTACCTGCATGCCTGGTGACCATGGAGGACAGGATAGGGCATTGTGTACCCCTGGACCTGGAATTATAGGTGGTTATGAGCCACAAGTGGGTGATGGGAACAGATCTGGGTTCCTATGTGAGAGCAGTAAATGTTCTATCACTGAGCCATCTCTCCAGCTGCACACAAATACATATTAGTCTTATACCTGATAGTCAAAGGATGCTAGGCTGGACATGGGAAGGTGATTAATGCCAACAGAGAGAACTAGGGTAACTTGGTTTTGGATCTGCAACTAACCCTTTTTAAATTTTATTTTTTAAAATTGTATGCATGTGTATTTGTGTGGGGACATATGTGCCATGGTGCACGTGTGGAGGTCAGAGGGCAACTGGCAGGAGTTAGTTCTCTTTTCACCTCATGGATCCCAAGGATTGAACTCAGGTCTTCAGGCTTGAGGGCAGGCGCCTTTACCCACTTAGCCATCTTGTCAGCCTTGTGCAAGCAGCTTAAGGAACGTGAGATCTTAATACATCATTCAATCTTGTAGAATCTTCAGCCTGGGTATAGCCTTTCCCCAGGAAGTTGATCTCATAATTTCTCATGTCTAAGTCATATATGTATATAGGTGGAGTCTAAATGCTTTACCTCATGGTACCAGAGAGGCTCATTTCAAGGATCTGATGAAGACAGAGCTGACTAAGAGAACAACAGCCCTCAGGAGTGAGAAACTGTATGTTCAAACCATCAAGGGAGAAGTACCTGGGTCGTGTCAGCATCATTGGCCACCACAGTCAGGTTTGTTGTGAAATACTACTTTAACTATATAAAGGTGTGTCGTGCCTGTTCATGTTGCATTTGTTTAATTATATAAAAATGTGTTGCTGCTTCACCTTGCCTGTCTAAGGCACCTGATTGGTCTAACAAAAAGCTGAACAGCCAATAGCTATGCAGGAGAAGAATAGGCAGGGCTGGTGGGCAGTTAGAATAAGTAGGAGGAGAAATCTAGGCTCAAGAGAGGTAAATAGAGATAACAAGAAAGAGAGAGCAAGGGAGTAAGAGAGGGAGATGCCTGGGGTCAGCCAGCCAGGCAGCCACCAGACAAACAGACATGGAGTAAGACATACAAAATGAAAGAAAGGTTAAAAAAAAAAAACCCCGAGGCAATATGTAGATGAAGAGAAACAGATTAAGTTATAAGAACTTGTGGGGCAAGCATAAGGCTGAGCATTTATAACCAATAATAAGTCGTGATTTGAGAGCTGGTTAGTGACCCGAAGAAAGTCTGCTACACAGGTCTGTTTCTCTCTTCCTGCCCTCTGATCTAACAGAAACAGTAATGTATGCTATATAGTAGGAGTATTACACTTGAAATGATCAAGAATGCAGTATCACCTAAGAAAGTAAAAGCAAAAGATGAGGAAAGTGGGCTCCCTAACCAACCTGGAGATTCTGTGTGTGAGAACATGCTTCTTGGCCAGACTGACTGTTTCTCCTTGTGCCCACCATCATTGTATGCTATGAAATATTTTATTTGATGTTTGGAGTATTGGAAATCATTTATTGTTGTTTTAGTTTTACATAAATGAATTATAGATTGAGCTGTCTCCCCAGCCCTAGATTCCAGATGTGTGTGTATGTATGTGTGTGTGTGTGTGTGTGTGTAGAAAAGCAAAAATTTAATTTTCATAATCAGAAGGGAAACAGGACTTTAAATGTCACAGCCACTTTATAATATTCCTCACTTATTTCTCATTGGCAAAACACAGTGTTTAGTGTTGTTTTATTTTTTTTTAAATTCAAGATACTTGTACTTTGGGTCACCTTGAAGACCCATTTAGTCAATTAACATGGGCTTTTGAGCTGTTGTCTCTTAGGTTGTAATTTCCATCTTTTTGAAATAGCATCATTTCTACACGTCCTGTTCTTGAATGTGAAGCCTTTTCACATCAAGATGTGCCTTAAAACTTATTTTCCAAAAATGTAGTCTGTGTTAACTAACATTCCTAATCCATATCTATACCACCAGAGAGATCTCTTTTGGCTCTGGCATGTGACCAATTATCCAAAATTTTAATTTACATTTGTTAGCTTATTTATTTTGTATATGGGGCATGCACTTGGCATAGGACATATATGAGGTCAGAGGACCACTTGTGGGAGTTGGTCCTCTTCTTCCCCCATGTGCATCCTGGGATCAAACTCAGGTTGTCAGACTTGGTGGTCAGCATCTTTGCCCACGGAGTCATCTCGCCAGCCCCACTTCACCAGTTTTGATTTTAAAAAGGTCCACTAACAAAACATAATAACCAATGATAAATAATAACCAAATAACTATAAAACAAAACAACAGCCATAACAAAACTCACCAGGAAGGTTATTATCATTGAAAACTATTTTTTATATAATTTGGGTTAAATAAGTCAGTCCCCAACACTTGGGTATCCCTAGCAAGAGTCAGCAAAGCCAAAGCTACTTCAAAGTAGGCAGAGGTTCGAAGATACTACAGGGCTTCCCAGCGCCTTTGAGACCTTCTGTCAGTATATACATTTTAACAATTATATTATCAGCAGTGATACAATAATCAAATGGTTAGATACTGTTGGTTTTCTTGACATTTTCTCAAGAGAAAGAAGATGTATTGTTTTTGGCTCCAGGAGTTTGCATCTGAAATGAAATTCTCTCTTTCCCCATCAAAAGGAGAATTTCGGGACTGAAAAGATGATTCAGAAATTGAGTGTATATTGTCATTGTAGAGGTGCTGAGTTCCCTTCCTAGTACCCACATAAGGTAGTCTGTAACTCTAGTTCCAGGGAATCCAACACCTTCTGACCTCCATGGACAGTGTACTTAAATGCACACTGTGAGCACGCGTGCGCGCGCACACACACACACATACACACACACACACACAACCTAAATATTAAATCTTTTTAAAAGGAAGATTTAAACTGAGTTCTGATGATCAGTAAACTAGAGTTTTCCTTTATCCAAATTCTACTGAATAAGAAAAAAAGTTTTCTTGTTGTTGTTGTTGATGATGTTTGTTTGTTAATGAAAGTCATGAAAAATTTAAATCTTTTGAAGCATAAAGATCAAGATTAAATGAAGCAGGAGGAGGCAGAAGTCCTAGGAAAACATGGTTGAGGGAGGATGTACCATCAGCATCCTCATTTTTAGAGTTGCTAAAGCCAAGAGCAACATTAGTTTTTATCTAATTTTAAAACATTAGTTTTGTTAATTTAATAAATACAACAAGGCAAATCAAATATTTTAGGTACATTTCAAAAGATCAAGATATAAAAGGATTTAGGAAACGTAATAAAAGAGCAAGAGTTGCAAATGTCAAAGGGATTTTGAGTTCAGTGACTCGGGCCACTCAGCACTGTTGTTGGTGACAGTGAGGACCTCCCGCCTTTCCTGAGGTCTGCGTGGACACGCTTTCTAAAGAAGGTGGCACAAGCTTGAGTAAGAGACACAAATCTAAGAGTTCATCTTCTGAAGCTCTACAGGAAGGCGGTGGTTAGAAGCGCCCCGCGGCGCCCTTTGACGTGGCGGCTGTTAAAGCTGAAGACGTCACCCAGTTTTCTCGCTCCTCAGTTCTTCATCTCTCGGGAGCTCGCTGTGGAAAAGCTCTGTAGCCAATTTTGGTTTTCGTTATTTTAAAAATCATTTGTAGTAGTTAAAATGGTCTCCTTTTAGCAAGAGATGTCCCATACAACCCTTTCTCTCTTTTCATAGAACCTAGTAATTATTTCAAAAGAAGTGGGACGCTTTACAGGAAGGAGAGATCTTCCCTTTAGAAGAACTAATGGCCAAGCTCTGGTTGATTTTGACCGTTGATTTCTATGGCGCCATTGTTCTCTCAGCAAATCCAGATGACTGGAGGTGTCAGGTGTGGTAAATGTTGAGGTGTAGACTTACACAATTGCCATGTAATTCAGCAATCTTCTATCCCCCTCTTGTGAGCTGTCTTGGGTGTGGGATAGTACTGTAGATAGGAGTTGTCCCTTGCCACCTGCAGTCAGGCAAGTATTTAGAACGAAGCTGGGAATTATACTTGTTAGGAACACCTTATACTTAATGGGAACTAAGTATTCCTAACAAGTCCCCTCAGCCTGCCTTCAGGGACTCAGTGTCAGCAACTATGTCAACACCAACCACCAAATGTGACATGTATCCCCCTTAAAAAGTCTCTGCCTCCACAGCCCCCTCTCTCTCTCTGTGTGTGTCCTGTCTTTCTGTCTCTCTCTCTTGTTCCCTCTCAGAGGTGGTTTTTTTTTTTTTTTGCTGTCATCCTCCATGCCCAATAAATCTCTTGCATGAGATCTGTTGCATTGTGTGATCTTTTTGGCATTCCTTGGACCCGATCCACCAAGGTACTCTTCTGCAGAAACCCTAATAATACTGGTTTAGGGGAGTGTTCCTTTCTCTTCTACTGTTGGGATTCCCACAATGCTGATATCCATGCACTAATGAAATTGCAGAAATTGTTTGGACTTTCTCCCTTGAATTTATTGTTTTACATGTGGTTATTAGAAGGCAGGGTCTCACATTACCAAGGAGGGACTTGAACTCACTATGTAGCTAAGGGTAACCTTAAGCTCCCGGTCTTATTGCTTTTGTTTCCCAGGATCTTGGTGTTGCGTCACTGATTCCAGCTTTGTCTTCTCCTCCCCATCCCCTCCCTTCTGCACCATCCCTGGCAACCTCTGACTCGGCAGGGGAATTAGATAAAGGAAAGGATTCAGGCTGAGGTACTGGCTTGTTTCTCACAGCTGGAGGCATGTAAGGATCAGACTACACATTAGAGCAATGCTAAAATGTTCCAAAAAGTTGGAATCCATGGGTAGAACTGAACAGTGAGGAGTAAGAAAATGTGGTAGGCAGAGAGGGAAGAGTTCATACTGGGTGATGCCCAGAATGGTGTTCACTAGAAGGTTAGAAAAGAATTATCTTGGGCTGGAAAGATGGCTCAGTGGTTAAGAGCACTCTCTGCTCTTCCAAAGGTCCTGAGTTCAATTCCCAGCAACCACATGGTGGCTCACAACCATCTGTAATGAGATCTGGTGCCCTCTTCTGGCCTGCAGGCAGAGTACTGAAAATACTGTATACATAATAAATAAATAAATCTAAAAAAAAAGAATTATCTTTTAGCAGAGACCTCAGGGTTGGTATGGGGAGTTGGAAGCTGAGCCTCACGTTGGCAAAAGACGAGGTAGGAAAAGGTTCTAATGGGCTTACCATTTTTGACTACCATGAAAATTGGAAATTGAGTTTATAATTTGTTAAAGCAATCAAGTATAGGCAAGAAGGAAAGGAAGGGAGGGAGGAAGAGAAGGAA